ACCATTATTTACCTCTTTAGGAGTGAGTGAAAATGTGCCCATGTTGATGAAATGCATCAGGACAGCATCCTGCAATGACAATCTCAATCCCCTACAATGAAACATTCTTCCCAAATTCTAAAAGCCACTTGACAATGTTTGTTACTACAAAGATAACTCTTAGCAGAAAAACAGTAAACGCATTTCAAGATCTTCTACTAGAAATGAGAAAAGAAGTAGAACTAACATAGCCATTCCTTCCCTCAAAACAGCAATTAATCATCTCGCCTACTTTGACTTCAAAAAGATCAGAACAACAAGAACTTAACCGTATTTGCATCCACCAACTCCAAAACCCTTGATTTAGGGTCAATGATGGAGGATGAAACCTCTAATAGCCAAGAAGCTAACTTTCCATGTACCAAAAAAGTTCATAAAGATCAAGTAAAGGATGGAGCTTTAAGAATAGGTTTAAATACCCATATATTCATAAACACTAACCAGGTAAAGGAGAAGGCTCAAGGCGGAAAGACGAATAACTGGCAGATTGAGTGCAATTATGTTCCACTCTTCTCCCAAGTTGTCGAAGTAAGCACTGCAAATTTCTCTGCCACCCAACCATGGCTTGATACCAAACTGAATAAGATCCCCTGAGAGATTCACTAACCAGGGTTAGAATAGCAGCTCAAAAGTGTTATGGAAACAAATCCTGTCAACACAGCTCGTGAATCTGGCTTGTGAATCTGCACTAATTACAGCAAATATAATCAGCATTATATGCAGGATATCAATCACACTTATTTGTATATATTTTCTATTATTGTATATCTTTAATTTCCATAAATAACTGCAGACCTTGTGTATATAGGATACTCAATTCTGTGAATAACATATATCAGTTTCATTCTCAAGTTTCTGTCATAATAAAAAGAAGCATTAAAAGGCAAAAAAATCGTAGACATCCAATTCCCGCGCATCCCATATTCCATAACCCCAAATGCGTACTGACCCACAAAAGAAAATGAAGAACCCACATCACTAAAATCTACAAACAAGAAAATGGAGTTGTACATTACCAAATTCACCTTCAACGCTGAGGAAGGAAGAGTCCCAGTGCGGCCAAACCTCGAGGTGGAAGATGAACCAAGGTTTGCGGACCCGGCGATAAATATATGTTTTAATGGGTCCGGCAAACAGGCCGGCTGGGTGAACGGGTTTGGGGTTGGAAGGGTAAAATAAAATGGGTCGGGCCAGTTTTTCTGCCTTTTTTTTTTCTCATTTTGTATTTTATCTAATAATCTGATTTTATAATTTGAAATATAATAAACTGTAAAATTAAAATTTTTAAGTAAGGGAGAATATTTAATATCAAAAGGCTCTCTTTAATTCAACAATAATTATTTTCTAGTTTAAGATAATCGTATTACAAAACAGTTTAAATTACAATGTAAACTTTTAAGTCATATTTAGTTGATAGTAGTGGTTATTTTTTATTAAAATATAAAAATAAGTTAAAATTAAAGAATTCTCATAAAAAGTTTAAATACATAAAGTCAAATTTTCATAATTATCAAATTTATGGAATTGATTTTTTTATACTAATTCTAGTTATCCACAAGCAACATTAAGTTTCAATTAATTTGAAGTTAAATTGCATTAGACTCTAATGTTTTTTTTTAATTTACAAAATTTGAACTCAATATATTATTAAAAAAAAGTCTAATAAATTATCAAATCGTTTAAACTCAATATAAGTTTTTATTGGGGACCCAGTCAGGGAATTAGTTATGATACGTGGGTTTCGAGTCTGATGTTTGAACAGAGTATTATTATACATAGAAAACTTTTAACGTTTTAATAATTGACATGGCACACATTTAAAAGAGAAAGCTTACAATGATGAGAATATTAAAGAAAGAATATCAAAGGTAACAAAATGTTGAAAGCCTTTATAAAAAAACAAAAAGTATTTTTTATTTTTTTTTACGAATTAAAATTTATGAACAAATAAAACTATAATAAAAAGCTTAAATTACGAAAAAAAAAAGTCATTTTTTATTTTTTAAACTACGTGATGGGATTTATATATAGATAGCGAGACAAAGGTACGAACCCTAATTAAAGAGACAGGCCGCAATACATGGCTAATTCTAAGTTTTGCATTTTAATTTTTTTTCCACGTTGGGCCAAAGTTACGAATCCCAACGCGTTTTTTTTTTTTGAAAATAGGTAATGAGAATCCTAACCTAACGAGTTTTGGTGGAATCAAGGAGTCGCCATCCAGATTGGAAAAG